CTTTTTTTTTTCTTTTTTTTCTGGGCCCCCCCCTTTCATTTTTCCGATTTTTTTTTTTTTTTTAAAAATCTCTCCCCAAACGAGCCAATTTTTTTTTCGGGGTTTTTTTTTTTTTTTTTTTTTTGCCCCCTTTTTGCTCCCCCCCCCCCCCCCCCTTGGTTTTTTACTTTTTTTTTAAAAAAAAAAAAATTCCCTTGTTTTTTTTTTTTTTTTTCCCCTCTCTGGCCTCCTATTCCTTTTTCCCCCCCCCCCCCTTCCCCCCTTGTTTCCCCCCCCCCCTTTTTTTTCTTCCTTTTCCCCCCCCGCAACCCCCCAAAAAACCCCCCCCCCCCAAAAAAAAAAACCCGCCCCACGGGGGAAAGGGGGGGGAAACCGGGGGGGGGGGGGGGGGGTAGAGCTTGTTGATGCCTTCGCTTCGAACGACTTCCTTCCTCATCTCTTCCGAGGAGGGTTGGTGGCGTTACCGAAATCCCGATGCAGGCTGTGGGTGTGGTATTTGGTAGATCTGGTATGCATCAACATAATGGAATTCCACACAGCAATCGACTCGCTCAAGTCTCTTGATTCGCTCAAGCCCGTGACTCGTTTCGTTCAGTGCCCTCGTCTCGCGGTGGGGTCGACGCACAGCACACGTAACTGCTGACGCACTAAAATTGGTACGCGGTCTACAGCTACAGTGCGGCAGCTGGGAAATTTCGACGTGTAATTGAAACAGGGAACTTGCTCGGTCCTTGTTAAACTCTGTAAAACTCCGGCGTTCTGAGGATATTTCCCCTCAGTCTTACACGACCCTTGCCTATAACCCCAACCCCACTCCGGCAGGTCGGCAAGAATCCAAAGATCTCAAGACCACGGCCGGCAGCACTGCGAGTACCCCCCCTCCATCCCGCGTGCCCCCCACCCTACCTGTGGGTACTTGCCCCTACTGAGCCCCCGTTCAGATCGGCCGACGGATCCATTTCCCCCCCGCCATTCCCTCACTCCCCCCCCCATTCCATCCCGCGTGCCCCCCCCCCACATACCTGCAGGTTCTTGACCCTGCTGAGATCCGATTGTCGGCCGAGCTCCCCGATAACAAGAAGGGCGAGGTGCTTGCGGTTGTCTTCCTTTCCGTCCTTGCTGTCCTTGCCCTGCATGTCCTCCACCAGGCGGGCAACCTTCTTGTTTCTCGCCGGGTCGTTGGTTGGGGCGCACAGCACCCCCATACCCCTAGAAACAGAAACAGGGGGGGGGGGGGTGGCTTCAACGGCTCAAGCAATTTCTCAACAGGCGGATGAGTAGTCAACAGTTACACGCAACCAGCAGCGGGATACACCACTCCTCGCTTGCGAAATTCCTCCTCCCCCTTCCCTTCCTCCTCCCTCTCAGGCTTTCGCGAGTAGAGCTCAAAAGTTGCCTGGCGATGTTGCCGATGGCTTGCTTCTGTAGCCTGTCGCCTCCGTTTTCCACCCCGTTCTGTAACGCCCCCAGCAGGTCGTCGAAGCCCATCCCCTTGTGGTTGATGCCCACCAAGATCTGCCCAGAAAATGCCAGGCAGAGCGAGCGGGTTGTGAGTACGGGCGGCCGTGCCATACTCAGTGGGGGGTCATTTACCCTTATATCTTGCGAAACTCATCACAAATTTCACCGTTGGGATCGGGTGGGGGAAGGGAGGGTCGGGGGGTGTGACCTCTCCCTTTAGCTGCTTCGAGAACGTACACCGGCTGTCTGCTACCGGCCTCAACCTTTGGGGCACAATGGAGGAGGAGGGGTAGAGTCCACCAACACACCCGGCGCCAGTCGTCCGCCGGCTAGGGTGGCAATTTCTAGACAAAAGAGACGCACGCGAGAGGGCGCACACACATCTTCGCTGCAGCGGCTGCCGTATTCGGGTCTGCTTGGTTTCGTGCCTGCCGTACCAAACATCAAACAGAACACGACCTAACCTTTTTCGACAGCAGTAAAAAAAAATGATAGCAAAGGAGGCGGACTCGAACATGGTTCTCGCCTTGTGAGATGGGGGTCCCTCCGAAATGCAGCTACATACATAGGTGCGCTGGAAAAAACAGCGGGCACCGGGCCCTGTTCAGGGCATGACACAACTCACAACCATGATTATTCCACCACTGTTGTCGCACGAAATCATCAGCACCATAGCCCCCCCCCCCCCCCCCCCCCTCACTACTTGACCGGGCTGTTCCGCGGCGTATTCCGTTCCATCCCGCAATAAAAGCCGTGGTCGAGGTCACCAGCGAATGCTTGCCGTCCCCGGCCCACAAACCAACCGTAAGGCCTCATGCGGTACCTCTACAAGCCAGCTTCCAAATACGCCTCCAATACAAGTCGATGAACTACTTCGATCCATAAATGGGTGGGTTGTGTTTCTTGGGCATGTTTTACTTGGCCCCTGAAAACCCAAACACTAAATATCATAAAAAAAAAACACCTATATATAAATATTTTCCGTGTTGGGGACGCAATAAAATAATTAACACACCCATATATAATCTCATTTGATCGAAAAGTTAATTGTGTTCATATGCAATGCGCAAGAGCAAATCCCCATTGTTCAATTTTCGAATCAAATGAGAATATATAGGTGTGTGTTAATTATTTGTTTTTGGTTTGTTTGGTTTGTGGGTTTAGGGAATACTTATTTTTCAGGTTTGGGGAGTACATGTCAAAACACGAGACAGACCTCTGCATCTACCATTATTTTTTGTCTTTGTTACCAAGAAAAGAAGAAGAAAAAAATGGGGGGCACCTTGAAGAGGTTGAGCAGTGATGCCAACGCAAGCCCTTGCAGCAGCGGAGACGTGGACAGCTCAAGCGCCCGGGGGAGCACCTCGACGCGAACAGCCTCGGCGGACTTGGGGGACACTTCCAAGATCAAGCAGGACATCTTGAGGCTGCATCATGAATCATCCAAGGTTACATACACGCGCCGAGGAGGCAGAGGTCCATTGTCGTCCTCAAGAAACGTTCCGATCTGCATTCTGGTTCGGTGACGAGTATACTTCGTACACGTACCATTGAATCAGCAGGGTCAGGCCGATCAAGGCACTCACTCGGGGTTAACAATTCCATACCAACAAGGGCGGGGGAGAAATCATGAGAGAAAACAAAGGAGAGGGGGGCGAACATACTCCCACGAAACATTTTTCTTGGCCCACGATGCAAAAATAGAGCGCTGCTGTTAGTGTCAGCCAAGTAGCGCGGACGACGCGAGCAAAAGAAAGACAAACATACACACACGGAAATTGGGAAGCGTGTTTGCGCCAAGTTGACCCGCACTGCGACTGACGCAACATCAAACTACGCAATGAAAAAAACTAACAAACGACAATCGCATCGATTCGTCAAACACACCGAGATCCGAGACATCCATCCGCAAACACGTGGCAGACAAAAAGAGCATAAGAAAGACAAGACAAAACACGCCATGATCGTGCTCGTGCTTGCCTGAGATGTGCGAGGTGTAGGTCGGCGTCGGTGACGAGAGCGGCCGACTCCTTGAGCAGCAGGGAGAACAACGCCTGCGTCATCTGAGCGTGGTTGCTGCTCATGCCCACCAGCAGAGGAACAAAGCAAGACCAGACCACACAAACGACGAAGATCCACCCGGATAAAAAAAAAAAAACGCCGTGTAGCGGTCGGTGTCAACACCACAAGGACACACAACGCGGAAGGGGGTTGGTGGGGAGGGGGTGGAGTGGGAGATTTGTTAGCTCGTTAGCAAATCATACACGAGGATGATGTTAGCGAGATGCCTGAAAATATATTCCTCGGCAAAGGAGAGGGGAGCTACAGCACGCCCCCCATCCCCTCCCATATATCCAGGCTTGGACTCCTGCAGAGTAGAGCAGTGAAGGGCAATGGAAAAACTGTCCCTTCCCCCGAGAAAAGACAACGACAAAAACACACACACACGCACACAGCTGGCCAGCCGCCTTACTGCGCGAAACCTGAGGCATCATTGCCCCCCCCCCCCCCCTTCCCTCCCCAACGATGCCTCCCTGCCCCCCCTCTCACCTCCCAATCAAGGCGAGCAGGGTCTCGAGCGTGGTCTGCTTGAGGGGCCTCGACTGCTGCCGGAGGAACTGGGCGAGCTCCTCCGTGGCCGAGGGCAGGATGGGCTTCAGGTCCACCTTGAGGGGGCTGACCGATACAGCGGCCAGCGCCTTGAGCGTGGCCATCCGGGTCATCTCGTTGCCCAGGCGGTCCATCAACAGGCCCAGCACCTGCCCGGTCCAACATTATTTAGGCGAGTTGTTAGATATAAGGTTTTGGTTTCGCGTGTGATATCAGGTCGAGATGCGGCGGAAATAGGGAGGCTCATGCATATGAATGAACACAGACAATACCTCGTGACAACGTGACAACCCCGTGTGGAAGGCGAACTACAGTATGTATGCTTTCGTGGGCAAAAACAAATTGTTTGTTGGCATGGAACGCGAGGGGTGAGCGAACATAGCAAATTGGCGCGTCTTGCAGGAGCAGCAACAGCATCTGTCGTAGGGTCGTTGCAGTCGAATTGTCTATAAAGGCACCAACCGTTTCCAGGTCCCCGTTTCAGACAGTTTGTAATCTTGTTGGGTTCACATTAATCAACAGTTCCGGCTATGCTTCTCGGTGCCTTCAACAATAACAAAAACGTGCGTACCTCAGGCAGCTGGTTGTTCAGGTCAGAGGAGAGGTGCGCCAGCAGCAGACCCATCGACGTGATCGCACACTCCTTGATCTCCTGAAATCGGACCAAAGAGCAAAAAAAACAACAGCAAGTGAGCTGCATGTCGCTACCACTATTGAGACACGTTTGTTTGAAGAAAGAGAACCGCAAGCAGCCACCTACTTAGGCACAGCAGCACTTGCGTAGACAACGAGCACTGCACTCGGCAATAGTGCCAACCAACGTCACGACCACGAGCGCCACTGCTGCGTGCGTGTACGGCTCGCACTCGACCGCGTGCACAACAAACAAAACGTCCCGCCTGACCCAACGAAGACGATCGGCGCGCCGACAAACACTCTTGTTAGCGGTCATCATACAAAGCCATCTCTCGACCAACTACCACCACCACCGCCGTCACCACAGCTACCATCACCCCCAACGCAAACCACCGTCACCCCCACCACTACCGCCGCGTGTCAGCAAGCCACCACAGACCTGATCGATGTCGTGCGCCGACAACCTGGGGTAGATGGCGTCGTATAACGGCTGCACCAGGGGCTGGAAGGCGAAGTCGTCGACCATCGCGTCCGTCTCCACCGACAGCGGCCGCACGATCTTGATGATGCTGCCGACCACTCGCAGGGCCTCCGCGATGATCTAAAAAAACACGACGCATGAATAACAAAGAGGGAGGAGGAAAAACGTACTTGAACTTATTCAGCCCATGAACACATCGCACGACAATCGGACCTCGCATGAGTGCCAACAACGTATCGATATCGTATTCCTAGTGGGCTCGGGGGATGGTGTGTGTGCATCATGAACAAGCTAGCAATCCATCTGTCTAAATAGAGTGCCTCAAGATCTCCATGGAGATATCTCCCTGCCTCTTGCGGAATCTTGACAAGGGCGTGCAACAAACAAAAAAAATGTTTTGCTATTCTACTAGCTTTCACGTGTCCCCACCCCTCCTCCCCTCCTCCCCCTCTCTCTCCCTATAAAAAAAAAAAAAAAATGGGCAGGGAATACGGCACATGTATGTACCCGATCTACTGTCCCTCCCTACGTGAAGGCTTTTTTGGTGGAATGGGGTCTACAGTCGGATTTCCACTGATGGGCATGCATTGTGACAACACACACACCCTTCTTGTCTTAGTACTCACGTTCTGTAGCCTGGGCCTGCGAAACCCCGGCATACCTTTCCACCCCAGCATTGTACAGTAAGGATGCGAGATATTTCGTCCACCGACTACGGCATGAGTCTACATGAGAGTACACCCCCCCTCCCCTCTTGAAGCTCCTTCACTACAATAGATGTTCGCCTTTAACGCCTTACCTTGTACCAGTCCTCCTTCACGCACGCAGTTACGTGCTTGATGCTCTCTTGCACCGTCGCGTGGAAGACGAAGGGGGGGTGCTTTTCCATGCTCAGCCGGAGGAACAGCAGCGCCTCCAGCTTGAGGCTCTGGGCACGCAGCAAGCAACACGAGGCGCCACCGAAGCACACGAACAAACATTATCAGCACCGCAAAAATCTCAGTATCATGGCTCGTTGTCCTTTGAGCCTCAAGGAACACGAGGCGCCAGAAAAAAGTGTCCTCCTTCGACGAACGTCCCGTCGCTTGTCCCACCAACCCGTGTCCCATCCCATGGCCATCCTCTTCCCGTCCCATTTCATCCCATCCCATCCCATCCTATCCTATCCCTCCTTCATTTCCATCTCATCGCATCCCATCCCAGTTTCGTTTCCTCTTATGTTCGTCTCCATCACACCCTATCCCATCCCATCTCCATCCCATATTCCCTCCCATATTCCCATCCTGTCTCGCCTGGTTCTTGTCCTGGAGGCAGCGGTGCGTGCTCTCGATGAGGTTCGGCATGTGGGCGTCCAGCCCCCCCCCAAGCACCACGCACAGCGTACGCAGCATCTGGAATATGGCAACGATGGTCTTGTGGCTCTTCCCCTTGAGCTGCTTGTCGGAGGCCTTCACGATGGCCCCGAGCTTGCTCTTCAGCGCCGTCAGCGCCACCTTCTGCCGCTCCTCCTGTTGTGGATGTTATTGTCGATCCGGGCGCGGGCGCGGGTCAGACGGCGGGGTTGGCCCCAAAGAGTTCCCGCATCCGGTTCATCCAGCCAAAACCGAATAAAAAATAAGGCACACGTCGAGTGCAGTAGACAACAAATAGTGCGAGAAGAGACAAGAAACAGAGAAAAATCGGCTGAAAAACGCCACGGCGGAAGTAGTGCCCATGTCAGCAGGAGCAGGAGCTGCTGCAGCAGCAGCAGCAGCAGTAGGGGCGACGGCGACCAACAAGTAACCATCTCCGCGAGCGCGAGCACGACTACAGTACATACAAACCTTCACCTTGAACACCACGCGCGACCACGGCAAAACAAAAACAAAAAAATCGTCAACAGCAGTAGCAGCGGCGGCGGCGGCAGCTGCCTCCCGTTGACATCGCCGCTATGCATAAAAAAGCCAACACCAAAAACAGCCGGCAGTCGCTCCATTTTGCATGCTGCTATGGTGTTTTCCTTCGAACAAAGTCCGGACCCAACACGAGCACTGAAGGCCTATCGCCAAGCCCAGGGGAAACTCGCGCCATTGCTCCATGTGGCTGGTCCAACGCCTTTAGCCCCAACCCTTGACCCAAACCCTCACCATCCCCTTCGGTGTTTCTCGCGTGTGCGGGTGGTAGTACTGGTGAACGCCCGCGTCCCCTCCCCGCCCCCGTCCTCCTCCGCTCCTCCCCCCACCCCCGCCCGCCCCCACCCGCGCGGCGGAACCGCCCGCGGAATACGCCGCCTCCAAGAGCTTGGAGAAGCACCCCACAACGTCCGTGCGAACGTTCTCTTCGCGCTCCTTGAACCGCGCGATCAGCTCGTCCGGACACCTGACGAGTCAATCGGTCAGTCACTCAGTCAGTCAGCCCGTCCATCGACGCGAGAAAGAAACATTGATCAAGGTCAACCAATGCTGGCAAGAAGGAGAGGTTTGTGGTTTTCTATTTTTTCTGCCCGGCCTTTCTAGTACAACACCATCAGTCAAGACACTCAGTCAGTCAGTCAGTCCATCTGGCGCACGAAAAAAAAAATGGTCAAAGGTCAATCGATGCTTGAAAAAAGGAAATATTTGTGGTTTCTGTAGTTTTGTATTCCTGTACTGTTGAGCCGTCTGCCGAACTGTTCGAGTGCCTATTTAGAACTTGGTTCCGTGCGGTCTGGGGGTCAAGCTGTGAGTCACAAAAACGCATCGTGTACCTTTTACAACTGTCTCTTCGCTTGAACCTCAACCTTTATCCAACAGATAAATCAGATGAGGCTTGTCTGTCGCTGAGACTATCGACGACAGCTTTTTCGACGTTTCCCGACCAATCTACAGCTTCTTCTCTTACCAAGACTGCCTGTGAGTGGGTATTAACTACGCTTGGAAAATCTATTTCCGTTTGAGCACCCGCTCAACCGTCATCTCGCCATCAAGCAATGAAACTCTGACAATCTCAATCGATGGAAACATATATTCCCTTTCAAGTGTCACACTCACCTGTTGTAACAATAGACGTAGAATTAGTAGAAGTATCCCAGTCACTTGTTTGTTTTAACTAAATATGTACTTCCAAGTGTCACAATCGCTTGTTGCAACTACATCTACATGGAAGTACGTACTTCGTATTTAGAATTATCTCTCATTCACTCACCTGTTGTACACCTCGTCGGGAAGCTCGGAGCGGCACTCGATGACCGCCTTGAGCACCTTGATGGCGCTGCGGCGGACCTTCCAGCTGGTGTCGTCGTCGTCCGAGGCACCGCCTTCGTCGTCGCTGAACTCCTGCTTTGCCGCAAACAACAGAGACAACGACAACGACAGACGATGTTGAAGGTGAAGTGACACACACCATCCACACACATGTCTAGCACCACCACCAACGACGATGAGAAAGGTTGTTGAAGACGACCTGACACACACACTGAAAACACATGTTTTTTGGGGACAACGCACAGACCAAATTCCAATCAACACTGGCAACCGCCAACAAACAACGACAGCGACGACGACCAACATTCTTAAGGCGAATCGGTACGCAGCATCAACTCGTTTCGGTGCCAAAAACACAGCACTCACTGACCAAAACTGGCCATCGCCGCCACACGTAAGACACCTGAGACATACAACGGCAACACACGTCCCGGAAATCACTACGCCAACACGGAGAAAAACTTCCATGAACAGTACATAGAAACACAAAACAATGGGATCACAAACAAAAAACTGCTCGGAGCATGAGTATCAGAAAGGGGGTGGGTGGACCATAACGTCCGTGTTCTGCAGACGGGCCTACTGCTGTACCTCTTCGTACTCCTCGTCCATGTCGACGTCCTCATCGCCGTCCTCATCGTCCCCGTAGCTGTAGTTCGGGTCGTACTTGATGTACTGCAGGGACACGCTGATGATGCCGCTGAGGTGCGGCGTGACCTCGCGAGGGCACCGCATCACGAACGACTCGAACCCCTGGAGAAAAAAAAAAACAAACGCCACAGGCAGTGGTTGAAAAAGAGAAAAAAAAAAAAAAATGAGATTGGGTGGATGGCACAGCAGCACCGCGGGGACAGCAGCATTGTACCACACGATTTTCAAATTGCGGCTTGTTCACGGCTGACGAGAGGAAGGGGCGGCTGCTTCATCTTTCCTGCGACGATATGAACGAGTTCCGAGGACAGACGGCTTGGGGGGGGGGGGTTCCGGATTTTGATGCGAACCATGCCCCGAGGGCTCTTCCTTTGCAGCAAAACCCACGGCCTCCTGCTGTTTTCTGCTGGAAGTATCAGATTTCCTCGCCCTCTCCCTCTCTCCCCATCGTCCGTCTCTAGCTCCTTGGGCGCCCGTCGTCTTCCTGCCTCGCTCTCCAACTCCCTCTCCCGCTCACCACCCATCCAACCAATACACCTGCCCCCTCGCCCACCTTTCTCGCTTCAACCAGAACGCCATACTCTTGGCGTTGCACTCCTTCACCTGGAAGCAGTTCTCCCTCAGCTCGTCCGCAGCCTCGGTGTGCAGGCTCTCATCCTCAGGGTCGCCGCAGAACTGGAAGAAGAGCGGCACGATGGAGTCCAGGTGTCGCCCAAGCCGGTACCCCACGGTACGACTGATCGTCCCGATCGTCTGTCGTCACGGGTCCGTTTGCGCGCACGCGCAGAGCGATAGCCCGCCGTGTTGTGGTCAGCGAGAAGGGGGGAGGGGAGAGGGGGATGGTTGAGACACAAGGATAAATAACAGCGAACGTATCGCTACCAAGGCCAACCAAAGAGGCGAGAGAAAAAACCCGGAGAGACCGAAAACGTACCAAAAGTAAAACCTATTGCGGGAGAACTCATCATCGAAAAGCAGCAACTTTCCGGATTGTGGTCAGGCAACACCATGTGACATGTCTTCCCATTCCTGCGTGAATGAGCGCACGGACCAAAAGGAGGGGTCGGAACAATTCCTAACGAGGTCTGACACAAAAACATGCCAGGTGCCAACAACAGTAGTAAGCGCCGAACGTCACCCACACAATGAATATCTGCATGCATCTGTGTGACACTGTGGCAGTACATCCACCACGCATGATTATGGCCTCAGCTCTACATTCCTACCGTGCCAGATCACCCAAAGGGTGTACACCGTACCAAGCATGCTGCCCGCAATCAGACCAAGAAGTTGCATGCTATATATGCATTTGTAGTCGCATTAACAAAGTATCCCATACCGAGCCCTCATCAGACCACCGACGGTTGCCCCGGTCAGACTACCCTCTACTGCCACACCCCTACCAGGGCACCACGACTACCAACAACAACAACAACAACAACAACAACAACAACAACACCAACAACACCAAAAGAGAGGAACTTGTTGCGTTTCTGCGAAAATAAAAAAAAACACCACCATCACCACCACCACCACCAACAACAATGACCTGGACTACTCTTCCTTTTACCTGGATGAGCGTGCGGACGACGTCGGGTGGGGGAGACTCCGAGATCTTCTGGAGGAGGTGCACCGCCAGCCGGTTGAGCAGCGACTCCGACACCACCACCGCCACCGACCCCAGGCAGGTGGCCGCCCGCTTTCGCACGACCACGCGCTCGTGGGGCAGCTGCTTCAACACCACCGTCATGATGCGCTCGTGCTGCTCGTGCGCGCCCGCGACAGTCCGCATACCGTACCATGTTTTGGTGTTGATGAGCCCGAGTCGTTCGCCGGGTTCACGAGAGAAACAAAAGGTATACAACCGAGGGGAGTGGGGGTTGATCATTCACTATTCTGTATCATGGTACTGCTGTATCATGGCTTTGACTCTTGGCACCACACTTCAGCAATCAGGTAAAAGATGAGTCAAAATGATGAGAGCGCCGATTACTCTTCCTTGCGGGCGTCGCAACACGAACGCTGCTGCAGAGATAGTGGCGTCTCTCGAGGTCTTCCGGTACGCAGCAAACAAGAACAGGCACAAAACCCGCCACACAGGCCCACGGCTGCTTGATTCTCTCAAGCCGCCCTTGCTCAGCACTCGTTTAGGCCAGCATCTCCAAAGAGCACCCAAACCCTTGGCACCAGTTACCCACGACTCCACGGAACACCATGCCAGATGCACTGCAAGCAGCAGTCAGAGCGTCCTTTGCATATATTCAAACATGCACTACCGTGAAACTTGTCGACGTCGTTACATCGCTGTGTGTAACAGCTGTCGTTCTTCATCTCCTTTGCTATCGACAACTTCCTATTCGTACCGAGTGGCAGCAGCGATACGATTGCCGATCTTTGAGGTCTACAGAATCATCGGTAATTAATCTACTTCACTATGTATCACCTCGCTTTCCACTTCGCGGCCGAACCTCTTGACCAAGTCCGTGAGGTTGTCGAGGCACTCGAGCTTGATGTCCACCTTGTGCGTTGTCCGGAGCACACAGCAGTTGACACGACGATGAGGGGCATCACACTACCACGACGTCTCACTTTGCGAACGTGCATTTGGACCGACAATGAAATATTTAACTCGTTCGCCCAGAGGGAAACACGAGTGCTCACGCGGAATCCCCTTTAAAATATTGTAAGAGTCAAGCGTCTCGGTTCTAAAAGTACTGCACCATCATCCCCAACCTCCCTGTAGTGCATGCAATTCTGTTCAGGTGACAAAGAACATATGGTACCCTCAACTCCCGCAGCTCTGCTGCTGTGGAAGACCTGGCGCACCGTCTGGTCCTGGTCGACGCCGCCTAGCAGACGCACGGTCAAGCGCTGAGCCACCGACGGCCCGAAGGCGTCGGGGACGTCGGAGATGAGAGTCTTGAGGCCTAAAACGGTCCATCGAAAGCGCGGGGTGGTGCCACGCAGGGGATACGAATTGAGGAGAGGGGGGGGGGGGGCGTACTCTTTTGTTGTTTGCCGTAGTCATTTGACCATTGACCACGCGTCCCTTTCGAGACTGAGCACCGTTCCTACCCCTACTAGAGACACCACCAACATTTAGGAGCTCTTTACGTTTCTGCCACAAACTCCATAAAAATTTCTTGCACATCTTATCCCCGTCCTCTAGGGCCTCTTGTGCCCGCCATCTATCCCCAATTATCGCGATCGTTTTTTCGCTGTTGTCTAATTTACCAAACTTGTCCATGTCACACCCTCTCTGTCTCATTTCCTCCTCGAGATCCTCTCTTTCCTTCCTGTACAACTCACACTCTCCAACTATGTGGGGTCTACTCTCCTCCGATTTGCCACATGGACAGGGGGGGGGGGGGGCCTACTCCCCTGTTTTGGGTGCCCTAACGGTTAAACCCTTTACCCCCCCTTCCCCAAAGGA